TTGTTCTTCATTAAACTGCATTTCAAACTCATAATAATAACGCATTACCACAAACTAAAATAGTAACACGTGGACACCATGAAATAACTACACAAATATTAAATAAAATTAAACGAAGGAACGCTTTTCGTCGAAAATTCCAACGAACAAGAAATACAAGTTACTTAAAAACTTGCAACGATCTAACTAATGAAATTAGATATGAAATTAAGGAACACATTAATAATACATGGAACAATAGGCTTCAAAAACTATCTCCGCAAAATAATTCGCTTTGGAAATTATTAAAATCACTCAAACGCACAAATAACAACTTATGTCCTCTACAAAACACAAATGGAGAATATGTATACATTGTGAGGAAAAGTATTGCAACAATGGTGAATGAAAAGTTAGTGAAAATTGTCAAGATGGCTACCGGATGGGAACCGGATCCAGAAGAAGGATCTAGCCGAGCTCTAAAGCGTAAACTTTCGACTGTCGAAACCTCAATATGTGACCCAGCAACTATTCAACGACTTCAAGAGCAATTAACAACACACAGTGTGGGAACTCAAAATCAATTCGACGTTCTAAGCGTTGATGATGAGGAAGTTGAAATGATGGAAGAAGCAAAAGAAAATCATCAGAAGAAAAAGGTAATACTGCCACCCATAGTTATACGCTCGAAACCCAAATCGTACACCGAATTCATTAATATTATCATTGGCGTAATTGGCCAAAATAATATTACAATCAAAACGAAAAATGAGCGCACTTTAGTCTTCTGCAAAATAGAATCAGACAGACTAAAGTTATTACAATATCTCAAAGACGCAAAATTGAGTTACCACTCCTTTACTCCCAAAAATTAACATTAAACACACATTTTCTGCGTTGTTCTCTGGGTGATCGGACGAGATCGGACGAGGTTTGCTACTACAGTATTAATATAGATATTTATTAACAAACGCATCCATGAAATCTTACAAAATTGCAGTTTTACTTTGCCTATTCTTTTGTAGTTAAAATATAAACTTGCGATGCAAACATGCCTAAAGGAGACGTGGTTACCAATGCCAATATCAATAATTATTGTTATAAATAAAAAGGCAACTGAACGCAACTGAGTTCCCAAGCGGTCTCCCATCCAAGTACTGTACTACCCGCGCGAAGTGCTCTAAAAATCAACGTGTTCACCAGTTTTGAGCATTGGAAAAATGCTAAATTAAATACTGTGAAACAACGCAACAACCCCACAATGTCAAACTTACCGGCAAAAAAGCAGAAGACGGAAGCGTCTCCGTCAACATCCTCCAACCCCAAGCTGTCGAAGGGAGACAGAGAAATTATCGAGCAATTTACCGCAAAAGAGCAGTACTCCATCCCAACTAAGAATAGATATGTTTCTCTCGAAAACATCGAAGACGCCGACATGGAAAAAATCCAATTTGCACCGAAGGTATTCAAACCGGCATCAATAATTCTACATAAAAAGCCACAATCGCCGAGAAAATTCGAAGAGCTGATTAGTAAGAAAATTGGCTCTGAGAATTTCTGGATAAGATACACTACAGAAAGAGTGACTGTCTATTGTGCCGATATAAACAGCTTCAGGGTGCTAAAACAACACTATCTGGACATTAACATGGAATATCATACATTTATTCCAAGGAATGAGCGGAAATTTGCTAAGGTCATATAGCTTAGATACTGATCTTACCGAAGAAGAGCTTGAACTAGACGTGGCCAAAGTTTCCAAAAAAAAAAAACTAGCAGCCCTATCTACACCGTACTGCTAAACAAAAATGTTTCAGTCTTTTTTTCACGGCGACTATTTTATTTCATCGCTACCCTACGTCCTGGTTTCTACACCAAACGTCGAGCTTCCCCTAATTCCAATAGGGACGCGCCCGATAGAGGTGACTGGCAGATCCCCACAAGGGAGAAATATGGAGAACACTGGCCGGAAAGCGTCGTCAAACGTTATAAACCGAAAAAAAAACTTAGTTTTTATTCATTTGAAAATACCGCGCGATAAGAGTGGGGTTTTTATGTTCACGCAGTGCCTCCAGATGGCACTCGAGTGACAAACTTGTGGCAGTACTGTCAGCTCTGTCACGCCTCAGACGGCAGACCCGCAACCAAAAACGCCTCGACGCGACAAAACACTTTCAAGCACAACGAACAGACAGAGTTCTTCATATAGTCAACGAGTCTAGAGTCAATCGCTCTCCCGAAACCACCAAACCTGTGGCAACCAAAGAATTTGATTTTTGCATATTAATTATTAATTAACAGTGCATTAGTTGTACGAAGTAAAATAAAATAATAATTATAACCCAAGTCACTGTGTCATTCATTTAAATATAGTGAATTCCCAGAGAATCCACAAACTACGATCAAAACGTTAAAAGTTAAAATGTCATCGCGAACGTGTAAACATGATGCTGATGCATTTTGTTATATATGTGGTCAATTTATAAAAGTTCAAGACACAAAATTTGAACTAAACAGTTTAATTAAACAGTAAATCAAATGTAATAAAGATATCATTGGTTTTTTCTACATGTTAGGTTGGTATCGAGGAGAGAAAAGATTTATGAAATTCGCAGTACCAAGAATCTGGCGAGAACCGAAAGACCACGTACATGACTGCTACTTTTGCGTTGTAAATCCAAATAAAAGACGTAGCGGAAAAAACGGAAAACCTATTGAATATCCTAATCTCGAATCTTCTTCTGTTCCAATTGCACACGACCTCACACGACCAGTCCCTTCACCGGCAGAAAAATTATCTGAGAAAAGTAGCTAATCTCTTAGTTCCATTAAAAGTACACAATGTAATTCCGATAAAGAATTTTTACCTACTCCAGAACCACCAATCTCATTACTACGGAAGATTTTCACGACTTGATAAGAGATTTAAATTTGCTGAAAGGTAAAATGTCCGTGTGCGCAGTTATGACTGTGGGTAGTTGTCTGTGAGCAGTTGTCTTGTGAGCAATCGTCTTGTGGGCAACTGATACCAAACTAGCCTGGAACCGCAAGATGTTCGTGCACATGGCCCTCCTTGACATCGAAAAAGCCTTCGATACAGTATGAATAGATGGACTAACGATTAAACTAATCTCAGCGAAAATAAATCCATCACTAGTCGCTCTAATACATAACTACCTATCAAATAGGCAATTTCAAGTCAAAGTGGATAATAAATTCTCGGATATGAAACATACAGAAGCGGGAGTGCCACAAGGCTCCATTCTGTGCCCGAAACTCTTCACGCTGTTTATAAATGACATTCTCAAAATAAACAACACCAAAATCGCGCTATTTGCCGACGATACGATCATTATCTCAGAATCTGACAATGTAATCATCAGCCGTCACAAAATCCAAAACCACCTACACGCTCTAGATAAAAACTACCGCATGTGGAATATTAAAGTAAACGCAAACTCTGAATTTATTACAGTAACAACAAAAAGAAAGATCAGAGATACAAATACACCCATTAGGATTAACAATCAAGTAATTCAAGAAAAGAACCAAGTGAAATATTTAGGGGTCACATTAGATAAAAAGCTAACTTTTAAGGAACATGTGAACAATACCTTAAATAAAGCCAACGAAGCCCTATCTCATCTATACTGCATGCTACATTGTCGAATCGGACTCTCATGCAAAAACAAAATCACATTATACAAATGTATCTTGCGACCAATGCATGCAGTTCCGTACGGTATAGCAAAATCACACCCCAAACGTTTCCAACACTTCGAAAATAAATGCCTTAGACTCGCTACAAATAGCAGCAGATACACAAAAAATGTAGACATTAGGAAAAATTCCAACACACAACCTCTTCTCGAAGGAGGAGCACTCAAATAAATTCTACGAAAAAAACAAAACTCACACCAATGTCTTAATAAGAACATCACACTACAAAGGCAGCACATGCCTGTCAACACGAAGTGCCGTAGCACAAACTTCCAATATATCAACAAGCTAAACACAAGCTTGGTAAACACAAGCAACAAGCTTGGTAAACACAAGCAACATGCGTAGGGTTTTTTTTTCTGCTCACCTTTTCCCCAAATTGACTAATAAACTGTATCTCTAAGCTTAGTATAGAATCTAATCTTTAGACTGGAAATATGTAAAATAGTAACTACAATTTAGGAAAACAGTCTGTGTAAACATAATTATGTATTAGGAAACAAACTCTGAATGACAAATATTGTAATATCCACCAGTTTCTGGTTGTACTCGTATATATGTTTTATGTTTTTGTAAATACAGAGTTTTTAAATGAAAATGGTGATCGGACGAGAACCGGTATATTCAACGTAGTATGGCCGTTGCGTGCTAGCATAGTATTAACATAGATATTTAATAACAAATTTGGCTGTGAAATTTTTAGCAAATTTACAGGAGTTGGTGCTCCGTGCCGTGTACATCGTCGCTTGTCGACGCCCGAACAATTCAGTGTGCACTTAAGTGTGACTGTGAAAATAAAAGCCAAAAGGGAAGAAACATTAACGAAAAGGTGCAGCCAAATCATGGCCAACGGCTTCTGAAAGTTACTATGGATGCTATAGAAGATGACATTGCCTCCAAGCGACTGAAATCCAGCATTAAAATCGCCTCTACTTCAGAGAACTCAAATATGAACAACGTAAAACTCCTCAATGAATTACTACCACCTAGACAAGTAGTAACAGAAAGCAACATCAGAGCTGACGAATTCAGTGAATTAATGGCAGAACTCGATAAGCTCCACTCCATGATTGACGTGAGCAAGATGCTAAAGCGAATTAAAGAATTAAACGCAAAACTGACAAACGCTAAAAGCGATAACGAAAAACACTTCATATTTATGACTTTTAACCCGAATGGCAGTAAATAACTTAAATATGTAGGGTTGACCGGGGCGGAACGGGGTACCGGGGCGGAACGGGATGACCTTCGTAAATCATTTAATACTTTGTGCTGCATTCAGAGGGACTAGTTTTGTTCGTCAGTGGGCCGCTAGCTCTTCTTTGGTACAGATGTGCGTATAGCTGCTTCGCGCCAAGTCCGTATTTTTAACATATCGACGAAAAGTGGTGGCATTTTGTAAAATCAGCAAACAGTGATCAGAGGTGAGTTTCATAAGTTTATTAAGATTCCGTTTTCATTATTTCTTCTAACATTCGGGTATATTTTTGGTATAAGTTAAGACACAAGTTAATTTTCGGAGAAATTAAAATGGCGGACTAAAAATTTTTAATTCGTCCAGTGTTTGCATGGGGCAGAACGGGGTGAGGCAGAATGGGGTACTACCCTATTCCGCCCCACGAAATATTTTCTTGATAGTTAATTTACTGATTTGTTTTTCTGTGTGTGTGTACGTCTGTGTAGGTAAATTGGATATTCTAAATGCCATGTGTTATTTGTTGCCTCTTTTTTTGAAGATGGTGCGTACCTACGTACGAAAAACGGAGAGGCAGATGTGGTCCAGCGAGTCAATGGAATTAGCTGTGCAAGCTGTTGTTAATGGACAAATGGGTTATAAAAAGGCATCCGTTTATTATAAAGTGCCTTCAAGCACTTTGGAAAGATATGTTAAGAAGAAAAAGAACAATGAACAATCTTTTGTCGAAAAAACCGCAGGCAAATATAAATTGGTCTTTTCAGCTTCGCAAGAAGCTGAATTGGTTAACTATTTGAAAGATATACAAAAGAGACTTTTTGGAATCACTTTAAAAGAACTGAGAGAACTCGCATATGAACTTGCGATAAAGAACAAATTGGATCATCCGTTCAAAGATGGAAAGGCTGGAGAAGATTGGGCTAAAAATGTTATGAAGCGTCATCAAGATCTTAGCTTACGAAAGCCGGAAGCAACATCAGGTGCTCGCGCAAGAGGCTTTAATAAGGTGGTAGTAAAAGAATTTTTCGACCTACTGACAAAAATAATTGACGAGCATCAACTTAGCGCTGAAAGGATATTTAACAGTGACGAAACGGGTATAACAGTTAACCCAAAGCAACTGTCTAAAGTTATTGCTACAAAAGGACAACGACAGGTTGCCGCTTTAACATCTGCCGAACGAGGTACTACGGTTACTGTAGAGATGTGTATCTCAGCTAGCGGATGTTTCATGCCTCCCATGCTAGTATTTCCTAGAAAACGAAAGCAAAGGGAATTTGAAGTTGGCTTACCTCCAGGTGGTTGGGCAGAAAACAATGAATCGGGGTGGATGACGACCGAGATTTTTATGAGGTGGTTTGTCAAGTTCATAGAATTCTCAAATGCTAAGAAAGACAAGCCAGTCCTTTTGCTAGTTGATGGACATTCTTCGCATACTAAAAACATCCAAGTTATTGATGCTCCGCGAGAGAATGGTATAATAATTCTATGCTTCCCGCCGCACTGCACTCATAGACTCCAGCCTCTGGATGTATCAGCTATGAAACCATTAAGCAAACATTACGAAGATGAAGTAAGAAAGTGGCTACGTTTAAATCCGGGCAAAGTAGACACTATGTTCGAAATAGCAAAATTGTTTGGGCAAGCGTTCTGCGTTCTACAAATTTAAGAACAGCTATTAATGGCTTCGAGAAAACTGGCCCCTAGATGCAAATATTTTTACGGATGCTGATTTCCTTCAATCGATGCCAACTGTTATAGAATTAAACCCCGCCGTTATCCATACTGTATTACCTTCTACAAGCAAAGAGTCCTTACAAAGTGAAGATATAGCCGAAACTACATTAGCTTGTGTAACCATGGAGACTGAAAATGAAAACTTGACAGATAATCAAGCAGTTCCGTTGTCGCCACGTCCTGGATGTTCTAAGTCAACTCAAAGAGACTCAAATCTATTCGTTTGTATTTCACCAACTACCTCCACTGGCGTGACCACTGCTGTAGTTGAGCCAGCTGCAAAAAACAATAAACCAAGTGACTTTCCTTGCGCCTCACCTACTGACATAATGCCAATTCCCAGAGTCAAGCAAGGCCAGATTAGAGTAAGTAACAGAAAACGTGGAAAGACAGCCATACTGACAGAGTCTCCATACAGAGCCGAGCTACAAGAATCTATCGAAAAGGCTAAAACTGCCAAAGTAGCTAAAGAAAAGCACAAAAAAAGTTGTTTACACAGCAGTCTAAGCAGATTAATAAAGGGAAGGAAGGAAAAGGTCTAAAAGCGAAGAATTCTAAGAAAAAAGAAAGAGAAACAGTAACTGCACAAAGCCAAATAGAAAGTTCAAGAGATAAAGATGACGCCATGTGTCTGTATTGCAACAACTGGTATTCTAGATCCATAGAGCGTTGGTGTTCATGTATAGTAGGGTGTCCGTTATTTCCCAAAATGGATTTTATTTTTCAGACGCCCCCCAAACTTTTAGATTTTGACCTAAAAAAAATATGAGACCCATTTCAGCCCTTAAAATTGATATTAAACCGTGCCTAAATCCATTTTGGGAAATAACGGACACCCTAATGTATAGTCTGTAAAAAATGGGCTCATATCTCTTGTGCCGTCATAGATAGTGATGATGACGAAACTCCAGTAATTTGCAAATTTTGTAATAAGTTATTGGTTGGAGACCATACCCCGTTCTGCCCCACCACTGGAGCGAAATAGGATTTTGACCTTTTTTTCTTTTTGTCTAGATTTTAAGTGTTTTTCTTGTCTTTTCAAAATTATTTTGTTAGATTTATATGGTGTTAATACCAAATAAACGATTATAATAAATTTCTGTTTTATTTCGACTATGTAACGAGATATATGTTGCTTTGAACATTAGCTACCCCGTTCCGCCCCGGTCTCCCCTACTTATGTATCTACTTAATGCAGTCGATGGCAATGGCGCAGCGCCCATCGCCACCGGCCACCACCTACCATAGTGCACCGGGTGCACAGTCCGGACTTACGACGTTCGACGCGAAGAAGAGTGCTTCAGAGTGGTTGGCATCGCTACGCCGCCAATGCCAACTACATCAGTGGAACGACGCATACGCGCTCGAGGTTGTGCGAACGCATCTCGCTGGAGGACCCGCCGTATGGTTCCAGGACCTGCTGGCTACAGGGCGTGCACACGCTAGTCGATTTTGAAGCCGCCTTCACCAACACCTTCATCCAACAAGACAGTTTTGCTACTCGTTGGAAGCGAATGGAAAGTTACGTACAATCCAAAGACCTTGATATTACTGATTACTTTTACAACAAACTTCATTTATGTGCAGGGTTGGAATTGAGCCTGGAGGAGAAGAAGGAACAACTGCTTATTGGGTTGTATGATAAGCAGCTGTGCACAGCCATGATGGCACAACGTCACGCCGACACCAACAGTCTGTACCATGACTTGCTGAATTATTTGCGTGTGCACAAGGCTCGTGAGGAGCGCCTGTTTCCTTCTCCCAGGAGTCAATCAACCCATGCACCACGTGTGATGGATTCCTATGGTGCGCCCATGAAGAAACCATCAGAAGTAGGGCGGTCCGCACCGCCACAGCCGACTACAAGCAGAGTCATGAAATGCTTCAACTGCAACAAGGAGGGACACCTCGCCAGAGATTGCCCTATCCCACCAAAACCACGCGGACTATCCAAGCCCGAAGCTCGTCCAGCGGAGACAGCCGCAAAGAGTAATGGACAAGTAAAGATCATTTCTTCGCATGACAATGATGGTGTGCTCAAATACCTGAAGCCAATCACATGCAACGGAATGGCGTTCCAGAGCTTGATTGATCCAGGAAGTTCGGAGTGCACCCTGAAGGCGTCGCAAGCCATCGCCGTAGGCTTTACCATTCAGCGCAAGGAGACCTTGCTGAAGGCATTTGGTCCCGCAAAGCATGTTGTCAAATCTCCCGGATTTGTCACGGCGGATGTTGCCATCGATGGTGTGGTTCTCTCAGAAATAGTCTTTAGCATCGTTCCGGACGACGTTCAGAGCGTGGACGCCATCATCGGTCGACCATTCACCGAGAACCCGTCTATCGTCTACATGCGCATTGATGACGACCTGATATTTACGTACCGTAGTGATGATCCGTTCTCTGCTTTGGAAGTCGAGGCGAAGAAGCGCGCGTCAAATCGAGTGACGATGGAAGCGAACATTCCACCACGTTCCGTAAACCTGGTAGAGGTTGTCTCAGGTACGGAAACGCATGCTTTTCCACTGATCAATTGGGCGGTTGAGCCCACTCATGTATCTCAGAACACGAGTCTGTTTCGGGGTGAGGTACTGAATTTGGAGCAAGCTGAGCCCCGCCAGCAACCCATTCCACTCGAGGTCATCAACGTGGACGACAATTTGGATACGGACACAGTGAACGAGCTGCATGGCCTCCTCAACGAGTTCCGCGATACCATTGCGATCGATTCCTCCGAGTTAGGATGCACAACGGTCCTACAAATGGACATCACCGAGGTGCCGGGCAGTCAACCCGTGCGCCAGAAGCCTTACAGATGTAGTGCCGATGAGCGCGAGGCGCTCAACACCATCATCGATGAATACAGAGATGCAGGTCTAGTCACCGACACGACCTCACCATACGCCAGCCCTGTACTGCTGGTGAAGAAGAAGACTGGGGAGTACCAAATGGTTGTCGACTATCGACGGTTGAACAACCAGACCGAACCATTGCCATTTCCGCTGCCCGACATGGATGAACATCTGACACAGATTCGCGATGCAAGGTACTTCACGACACTTGATTTGGCTCATGGTTACCTCCAGGTACCATTGTCGGAAGAAGCACGCAGAAAGACAGCCTTTATTACTCCGGACCAAACGGGTGAGTTTACCAGGATGGTATTTGGCTTGACCAATGCCCCCTCGTACTTCTCAAAACTAATGCAAAAGGTTTTGGGACCTCTCCGTAATGACACGGTGATGTACTACCTCGACGACATTCTCATACCTGCGCGCGATTGGAAGGACATGCGAGTCAGGTTAACCAAGACCCTGATGGCGTTGAGAGGTGCCGGATTAACGCTGAGGATTGAGAAATGCTACTTCATGCAGGAGCGTGTGGAGTATTTGGGGTTCATTCTGAGTGCCGATGGTATAGAGCCTGGCCCCGCAAAACTACGAGCGATCTCAGAGTATCCTGCGCCTTCAGATATCCACCAGCTACGGCGTTTCCTGGGAATAGCTAGTTTCTTTCGTCGTTTTATAGCCAATTTTGGTTCCAGGGCCGCCATTTTGAACAAATTACGACGTTGCAGGAGAAGAAGTTCCAGCAAGTGGAAGCGCCACTGCCGAGGTGAAAAACGTAAGGAAGAGCTCACGAGTCACAAAGGTTCCAGCCCGCTTCGCGGCATACACACTCGAGGACGAGTGAGAGTCAGGACGGTCGAGTGTTAGCGAAATGCGTAACGTAGGCATCTAAATCACCCCATTGCACAAAGAATTCGTAGGTTTCCAAGCCGGTGAAAAGGATAACAGTATTGAACAATAAAAACTTGGAGAAGAATCCGTACCAGAATGATTCCTCTTTGTATAATTCAATGCCTAAATATCGCAGGACTGTCACCTGCACACGGAAATAATTCGTTGGTAGTTGTTCATCTTTGAACGCTCTCCAAGTGTTTCCCATCGTGAACAAACTAACAAATTCATTAAACCAAAAATCCCCGGCTTATATATTTGAAATTATTATTATTTCTAGTAAATTTTTTATATAAAATTAATTGTTGGTTGTAACTTTTAGAGAAAGAGTTACTTTACTTTGATTTGAATAATTAATTAATTAATTAGTGTCATAAAAATGGTTATATTAAAGTTCTTCGCTTTTATGACTCGTATTATTGGATATTGATGCTTTAACAAAGCATTTTTTATGAGTGCCCGTTGATAATATGTAATTAAAAAGTTTTGAAATTGAAAAAGTTGTTTAACCAAGTGAATTATTAATTATTTTGTGGTTGACATGTGCACATGTGAATATATTAATAGTGAATATAGTTGATATTGAATCAAATTATGAGCATATGCAAAGATTATCCTTCTAAGCTGACATATTCCCTAAAATTAATTAAACGACTACTGTTTCCGATATATAAATGAATAATCACTGCGCATTAAACCAGTGCACGTCTAAAGTAAACCAAAATCACCAAAATGATTCGTGTGGCAGTTTTATTGTTGCTGGCGTTATTTTGCGTGCATTGCTCTGCACGCTCAGCAAAATGTGCGAATCTTTTCGACGAAGGTTGTGTCAATGGCGGCCTACCAGGCTCCAGCGATGATCACGAATGGATCAGGGGCAATGGACTGGGAAAACGTGCCACGCCAGCAAAGGTCGCAATCGATGATTTTCTAAATAATTTGCGAGCGTTTTATAAAATGAAACAGTATCTACGTCAACAGCAACGCATTAAAACACGCTGTGCGAATCTTTTCGATGAAAACTGCACCAATCCTGAAGACAATCATGGCGACGACGAAGAATGGTTAGGTAGTCATGAATTAGGCAAATGATCTCTTATTCTCTGTCACTATAAACAATAACTGATAATAATTAATAAAACTATTTTTGCAAATTTAAAACCAAAGATTTTTTAGTTTAAGGAAAGTCTTCGGACGTTGAACTTCTGCGTTTAAATTCA